CATATGCCTACTTCTATTCTATTTTTCACATAGGTGAAACATCCAAGTGTTTTGCACGGAGTATTTAGCACTAAAACAACCCCCAAAACTTACAAAGTACAGGTAGCCCTCAACTTACAAACACAACTGTGACCAAAGTTTCCATTGATAAGCAGAGTGGTTGTTTAGAATAGGATAGGATAGTAGGATAGAATAGAATAGAATAGAATAGAATAGAATAGAATAGAATAGAATAGAATAGAATAGAATAGAATAGAATAGAATAGAATAGAATAGGGTAGGGTAGGGTAGGGTAGGGTAGGGTAGAGTAGGGTAGGGTAGGGTAGGGTAGGGTAGGGTAGTGTAGAATAGAATAGAGTAGGGTAGGGTAGGGTAGGGTAGAATAGAATAGAATAGAATAGAATAGAATAGAATAGAATAGAATAGAAGCTGGAAGGGACCTTGGAGGTCTTCTAGTCCAGCCTCCTGCTCAAACAGGAGAACCTACCATTTCAGACAAATGACTGTCTAGTCTCTTCTTTAAAACTTCCAGTGAAGGCGCACCCACGATTTCTGATGGCAAGCCATCCACTGGTTAGTTATCAGAAAATTTCTACTTAGTTCCAGGTTGTTTTTCTCTTTGATTAGTTTCCATCCATTGCTTCTTGTCTGGCCTTCTGATGCTTTGGAAAATAGTTTGACACCTTCCTCCTCTCTGTGGCAGCCCCTCAAATATTGGAAGACTGCTCTCATGGTCCTTCTCTTCCCTAGACTAGCCAGGCCCAGTTCCTGCATCCATTCATCATATGTTTTAGCCTCCAGTCCCTTAATCATCCTGGTTGCTGTTCTCTGCACTCTTTCTAGAGTCTCAACATGTTTTTTATAGTGTGGTGACCAAAAGTGGATGCAGTATTTTAGGTGTGGTCTTACTAAGGTTTTATAGTTATCTAGAAAGCTTCCTTCCAGGAAGCAGGATGTTAGTCAATCCATTTGAGATGATAACAGAACATAGATTCGGCAGCAGGTAGATTTTTAATTCTGTAAATTTAGCCTTCCTCAGCCCTCCAGATGTGATGGAACTGTGACTTTCAATCACTGCCAAACCACAAGCACATCTGCAACGAGAGGTCAATTGTGGTTGTAAGTTGAGGACTAATTGTATATCTGGAATACCAAGATTTGTACACCCCGATGAGCTGCTGTTTACTTAACTATGGTGTATTGAAGGCTAGGATTGCACAAAACACTAATGCCATGCATCAGAGTTTAATTACTCTGGCTGAGATTAAATTATTCACAAAGTTGGTCAAGTCTATGCTTATAGCATATTCCTCCCTCCTTCCTTGGGGTTTATATGACCTCCACACCCCCATGTTTTCACAAAGCTGACAATTTGTTTCAACTTCTACCTTCAACTTCAACTTCTACCTTCAAAACAACACTATAGGACAGGGTTTCCCAAACTTGACAACTTTAAGACTTGTGGACTTAATTCCCAGAATTCCAGCATAGCTGGCTGAGGAATTCTGGGAGTTGAAATCCACAAGTCGTAAAGTTACCAAGTTTGGAAATCTCTGCTATAGGGCATTGCACAACTAGAACAACTAGACACAAGGACAGTTTTACCCCTCCATGCCATCATGCTGCTAAACAACTAATTCCCACAACACTGTCAAACTATCTAGACAGGCAGAATTACCATTATTCTCATCCTCCCTATTACCTATCTCCTTGTCTTCTTATGACTATAACTTTGTTGCTTGTATCTTATGATTTATTTTGATTGTTTATTTAGTATCCGTGACTATCACTAACTGTTGCATCTAATGTTTTATGATGAATATATTTTTACAAATGATCTATCACTATTGTTGTATGTACCCTGAGAGCTTATGCACCACAGACAAATTCCTTTGTCTTCTGAATGAAACTGAATGAAAACAACTGAATGAAAAACTGCTGGTGACCTTCTACTGCTGCACCCGAGAGAGCATTTTAATTTACTGCACCTCTGTATGGTTTGCCAATTGCATAGTAGCAGATAGGACAGCGCTCCAGAGGGTTAACGTCATTGCCCAGAGGATCATGGGTTGCCCTCTCCCCTCTTTGGAAGAGCTTTATAGCTCCCGCTGCCTTAAGAGAGTCCAAAACATTCTCAAAGATCCATCTCATCCTGGGCACCCCCTTTTTTTTAAAACTATCACCATCTGGCAGACGGTACAGGACAATAAAAACAAGGACAAATAGGCTGAAAAAACAGCTTCTATCCCAGGCAGTAACTATTTAATTCTACTGTATAGTGCAATATTAATGCAATATCAGGGGTTTTCAATTCAGTGTATAAAATGTGAAGGATGTGTGTTTGAGTTTATTTTCAGTCATAAGGTACACTGAAGATGGCATTTAAATTCATTGTATGAGGTGCAATGACAATAAAGTAAACTAATTCCACCTTTCTTCTCAGTATGTATCCGAGTTCTCTTGACGTCATCACTAAAAGAGTTGGGGGACATTTTCATATGTTCATTTTCTGACCTGAACATAATAGGGACGTTTTAGGAAGTCTTCCTTCCCCGTTTCATAACATTCTCCCCCTCCCAGAGCTTCTGTGTGGATCCTGCACTCACCTGCACTGAAAATGGGCTGTGTGGAGGCTCCTGGGGAGGGGAGGACCAGCCAGTCGGTTCAAATACTGGTTCGGTGAACCAGATGCAGATTTAACAACCAGTTCATCTGATCCGGTGTGAACCGGTAGAATCCCATCCCTGATTGTCTTCAACCCAATTATAACAAAAAATTGCTAAACATTCAACCCTTTTTGCTGGGGGAGTAAAGCCATTTTTTTTTCCATGTTGGTTTTCTTTGCTTGAGAAATTGAGACACTGAAATGAACAGGCCAGTGGCAAAGATAAAGGCTTTTTTTTTTTAATTTTATCAAATAGATCTGTACAAAAGTTAGCATTAGTCAGAAGCCAGTGAACAAAAACAGATAAACTGACAACTTTCGAACTTTATACAGAAAAATAGATTGCATAAGTATTCCATCTTCAGCTCTCCTCTTTTGTGTCGCAAGCCCACCCACTTCCACAAATACACTTTTTAAAAAAGGAAAACGTGAAAACAAAAACAAACCCGAGAATATGAAACATAGAAAAGATAAGCTAGATAGTCTCTGAAAGTTTAAAGTTTTATAAAGATTTGTTTTTTCTTTTAAAAAGGCACAAAGTTACCATTAGAATAGATGGTTGTTATATGCTCAGCATACAGATAGCAACAGAATTATTAGCCTACACCTAAGGATTAACCAAAACGTAGTGGAGAATGCTAATTTTCACAGCTTTGATGAATAAGATCTGGTTCTTAAATAGGGCAATATTAAAGTGAAACTCAAAGTGTAAATTCTGCTAAAACTGATATTTCTTTATAAAAAGAATAAGCTGCACCAATTTAAAAATGTAACATTTTTAAAAAATAATGTTGTAGTTTGAAATTAGCTTATGATGGGAGGTGAACCTATTCACTTTCCTTTTTCCATATCTGATTTCATACAATTTCGCTTAAGATGGAGTTTATTCCCCCATAAATTCACATTTTGCCAGGACAGAGGAGAAATTCCAGTGAAGGAATCAATGTAAAATTTCAGATTGTGCCTGTTTCCTCTGGCAGGAGTCTGTGAAGTTTCTCAGTCATCCAGGTCACAGTTGTCTCAATGGTATTCTTTCAAAATAGGAGGAGGAAGAGGAGAAGAAGCAGAAGGAGAAGGAGAAAGAGGAGGAGGAGCAGGAGAAGGAGGAGGAGAAAGAGGAGCAGGAGCAGGAGGAGAAGGAGCAGGAGGAGAAGGAGAAGGAGGAGAAGGAGAAGAAGAAGAGGAGGAAGAGGAAGAGGAAGAAGGAGAAGTTGTTTTGCTTCTCAGCCAAGAAACTTCATCTGTTCCGAACCGATGAATCTTCTTGGATGAAAAGCGAAATGTTTCTGACTTTGGGTTTTACTGATTAGACTGATAGATCTTTATAAAAATGGCTTATTATTATGGCATATTATTATGAAAAAAGCAAAAAGCTGTGATTTGATGTTAAGGCCTTATTTTACTGTAACAGAGAGAGTCGGAGTCAATGCCCCTTTTCCTTTCTTATCTTTCCTCACTTCTCTTTCCCCTCCTCCTCTGCTTTTCTATTTACTTTGTATTTTGTATTTTATAATACTTTATAACTCAATAAAAATGTTAATGGGGAAAAAATGAAATGTCTGATTTTTCTAAAGGGAAAAGAAAAAACCAGCCCAGTTGCCTTTTGAAAAAGCATCTTTGAGACTCAAACAGGTTATTTTCCTGTCCTTGAAAAATCCTAAAATTCTGGCAGAAAACTCACCTCACACCTCACCGGGTAAGAGATTGCATTTTTCTTCCGATAGGCAACACACCTTGCACAATATTTTTGCACGTGTGGAATTCCTAGCTGTGGAAATTGGCTTGCCAAGCTGGGTTGTGTGAAGGCACTTTAGAGATGCCTCTGTGCTCGTTCAATTCACTTGATAAAAAAAAATATCTACTCTGAATTTCATTAGTGCAAGCTTTGTTCCAGCCCCCTGTGACTTGACGGGCAATGGATGAGAGAGAGTTTAGAAAAGGTTAACTCCATGAACCCTTTCTAAATAGGAATTTAAAATAAAAAATTTAGAAAGCACCAGTATGGAGGTGCATAGCCTGTTTGTGGCTGGAAAACCATCAAGAGATGAAAATGTCACTTTTTCTTCATCTGGAAAAGCAAATATCACCCACTGACTCCGGAAAAGATGGAAAAAGCAAGTCCGTGCCAGGACTTCATTTCCACAGGGGGCAACAGTACTGCAAAACCAGGATCAGATGTAGGTGGGCTCCCACTACATTCAAAGGCAGGGGTTCAAACTCGTGACATGTCGTCAGGTGACATCTCACAACTTTTTTCCCCATTCGCTAAACCAGGGATGGGCGTGGCCAGTACGTGACGCATCCGGCCCATGGCCCGTGAGTTTGAAACCCCTGTTCTAAGGCAATGTTTCTCAACCTCAGATACTTTAAAACATGTGGACTTCAACTCCCAGAATTCCCCAAGCGATCTTTCTTCTAACCAGGCTATACAAAACCAACCATGTTTCTCCCAATTTACCAAGCCGTAAATGATTGTTTAGAAGCCATGCAACCAAGCTCCGGATATCAACTGGAAGAGCTACTGTAGATGAGTGTTCTGTGATTCCAGTGGCAGTCTACCTTTTAAGTTCCAGGTGTTGGAGATAAACAATATGGAGTGGCCATCACCTTCACAGCATCTGAAAGTGAATGTTAGCCAGGAGCAACTTAGCACAACATTTGTTGAAACACAGCGTGAACTCTGTTTTTTCTCCACCTCTTAGGTTCCTATATTATCATTGGTTGTTTTTTTTTAAGCATTTCTAATTTTCCTTTCTGATGGACCTTTAAATGCTGCTCCCCCCCTTTTTTTTTAATGAGTAGTGTAATTGGGGAGATGGGGAAACTCCTCCACTACTTTATGCGCTATAAAGTCTTTATTTAAATCTACCTCTTGCACAGAATTACTTCATTAATTAAAAGGACAAAAATTACACAGAACATAAATACATATTTAACAGATTTACTCTCAAACAATGACAAAAATATATATATCAATGCACTTTTTAAGCTTCCAAACCAAAATGTTAATTACAGCAAAACTTTGCTCAGAACTTTAAACTAAAATTAAGAAATGCTGACATTAGTTGGTTGGTTGGTTGGTCCCAAAAGATTCTTGAATGGTCCCTCAGTATTGTTAATTGAACACTTAAGATTTTTTTTTAAAAAAAAAATCCTATGTGGGTTTTTGTGCAAGGCTGATCTGTCCCTGGTTTGCCACAAAACCTTAAGCACCATCTTCACCTCGACTTTTACAGAGTCTTGGATTTGAAATCAAACTCATTGCAAAGTTCTCACAGAGGAGTTAGAATGGATCGTCCTTCATCTATTCAAGAGCATTCATTGGTACGGATGTTATTTAATATGATTTACGAGTCAGAATAAACAAAATAGAGCTTTGCCTTGGAAAATCTAAGAGATTCTGGACAGAAGGCCCAGGCATACCGGCAAAAGGGGAGGCACTTCCAACTATGCAATGATGCTCCATTAGGGTTCTTTGTTATTAACTATCATCACTTCTTCGCTCCGTCTTTGTTTCTGTGTAGTGCATACTGTTGAAGGCTGGTGGGGAAGACCTCAAGAAGCAGCTCCTTCCATCTGCTCAAGGCCTTGTCAGGGTTGTGTAGACGGGCTGGTCCCAGTTCGCCGTAGGGCTGTGAGAAGGAGGGATGGACAGGCTGTTGAGGATGGGGGTGGCATACGGCCGGCGAGAGGAATGGAAATACGGATACTGGTAAATGCTGGAAGGGTAGCCTGAGTAGGGGTTGTAGTAGTTGGAGCTCTGAAGATCTGTGTAGTCGCACGGGGAGCTGGAAAAAGATCCCGTGGCTGAGCTCGGGGAGACGGTGGTGGCACACGCTTGTGCAGTATAGGATCCGTAGTCCGAGTGGGTTGGAGAGTTGTGAGGCTGGTCACTGTAATGGCTCGGGCTGAGCTGTTCAGTCTTGATGTGAGGCCTCTGATGGCTGCTTTCACTGGACGAAGGGGAGGCAGATGCCGGACTCTTGTGAGTCCATATCTGGGAGGACCCAGCAGTGCTGCTGTTGGCCGAGTGAGGGTAAGAAGTCCCATAAGATCCCGCGGTGGAGTTCTGCCCGTGGCTGGCTGGGATGGCAGAGTGGCCGTTGAGTGGCAAGTACTGGTCAAACTCGTGGATGTCGAAAGCCTCCATGTTGTTGATGACCTCACTGCTCAGCTCAGAGATGTCCACGTTGCTGAAATCAATGTTCTGTCGACCGCTTTCCATGAGGCGCCGGCCCTCGTGTTTTAGTTCTTGCTTGCTCCCGGGGTGAAGGTCTGTCTTAGGGGTGGTAGGTGGGGTAGGAGGTCCATGGGGCTGCCCTAGAGAAAAGTGTATGGAAAACAAAGTCATCATCTTCAAAGGGAAGATGGCTTAGCTTAAACACCAGCCCTGAAAGATGTATGGTGATTTTATTTAATAAAAATAAAGGAAGCACTAAGTTGACATGCAAGAAAGCAATGGATCATCTGTTTTGGAAATCAGCTTTGGAAATCCTGCTATCAAAATGTGAAAGAAGCCCAGTCTCTTGTTTCTAGATGGACCTGCCTACCAGGAAAATGACCACTTTTAGCTGGGATGGGGAGGAGCAGGAGGGCCAGAAGGGACCTCAAGAGGTTTTCTAGTCCAACCCCTTGCTCAGGCAGAAAACCCTATACTGTTTCAGACAAGTGGCTGTCCAGTCTCTTCTTAAAAAAACCCAGTGTTGGGACACCCAAAACTTCTGAAGGCAAGCTGTTCCACTGGTTAACTGTTCTCACTAGTTCTCCTTAGTTCTAGGTTACTGTTCTCCTTGATTAATTTCCATCCATTGTTTCTTCTTCAGGTGCTTTGGAAAATAGTTTGACCCCCCTCTTCTTGGTGGCAGCCCCTCAAATATTGGAACATTGCTATATTTGAGTGGCTAAGAAAAGGTAAGGAGCAGCTGACAAGCTTGCTTTCTGGTCATTGTGGGCTTATGATGGGCCATACTCCTGTGGCAAGTACACCTATAGTATTTACTTAGAATTCCAGATGTGCTAAGCACAAAGAACATGGGAGAGACCATATAAGGGTTGACTGTACAGTGTACTTATTAGAAAAAGAGTGGAATATCCAAAATGTTAACTTCTATCACTCCCACCTTTGGGCCACCTAGCTCAGTGGCCCAGCAATTTTAGGATGTGTGGACTTCAATTCCCAGAATAACCCAGCTGGCACTGAAGACACACATCTTAAAATGGCTAAGGATGTAAGACACCGAGATAGCTCAAAACCGTCTCATTTGACAGGGAAAGGATTCTCTTACATTCAAGCAAGGGTCTCTCCAAACCAACCAGGTGTTAAGAATAACATCTGGCAACCCTGCCTTGTAAAGCAAATGCTTTCCTAACAGCTTTCCCAAGTCTGCATGTCGATTTGGTGAACTGCGTGCACAGAAAATTTAGGAAAAGCTATTCTGTTGTAAGCTGCAACGGAGAGAAACAGAAGCTATCAGGATAACAAAAAGTTGTCAAATGATTTAGCACCACACCAGCCAGCTGGAAGGACTATACCACACATCTGTCAGGACTAAGTGACTTGATCAGGGCCTGATTTGACTTGCTTTGCAGAGTGAAACTGAGCGCACCCTTTGATTCGACCCATCAAATTAGTCCAAATTTGTGAACGGCAAATTTGAGGATGCCTGTTGTTTTGTGTGTGTGTTTTTTTTAATGGGTGTTTCTGTTTTTATGATGAAAACTGCCCGGAGTAAGCCAATTTAACATAAATGGGATGCAAACATATGCCAACATCCATCAAATCTTTACATGGATCCAAAGGTGCCAGATCAGAAGTCCCAAATCCATTCGGTGAATTTGAATGAAATGTAGGAGATATTCTAGGGAGGTTGGAAAAGGAACGCAAGGAAGGAGAGGCTGGAAATCAAAAGACAAAAGGTGAGTGTGTATCAGCACTTCTTACAAACAGCAGCTCAGGTGGGGAGAAGCATTTCCCATCGTGCAAAGGGACCAAGTTGCCAAGCTTGGAGACCTCTGCTCTATTGTGAGATTGGAGAGCCTGGGAGGGTTCATCCCACCTTCTGCCCCTTTCCTATTTTTCAAAAAAAATGTTAATTGTTGCAATAACCACACCAGAGGCCTAATCTGCATTTCTAAAATCCATTTCCTGCTGAAAACTCCTCTCCCACCTAATTCCAGTAGAGCAAAGTACACAGTAATCCTCGCCATAGGACCACTATTGAGCCCAAAATGTCTGTCGTTAAGTGAGACATTTATTAAGTGAGTTGTGGCCTGTTTTACAACCTTTCTTGCCTGAATTGCTAAGGGAACCACTGCAGCCGATAACTTAGTAACCTGGTTGTTAAACGAGTTGGGCTTTTCCATTGACTTTGCTTGTCAGAAGGTCGCAAAAGGGGATTAGAGGACCCTGGGACACTGCAAACTGTCATAAATATGAGTCAGTTGCCAAGTGTCTGGAATTTTGATTCACTTAACAGCCGTGTTACTAACTTAACCGCTGCTGTAGTTCAGTTAACTTTGGGCATGAGTAAAATGGGACAAAATTCACTTAAGAACTGTCTCAGCTACTGTTGTGGTTTGCTGACAGCCTGTGCAGACGTCAGCGGTATAGGACAGTGGAGAAGAACATGGACCAGTCGAGGAGTCTGGAGAGGACTCAGACGAGGGTCCTGCGTCCAATGCAGAGATGAAGCCAGGGCCATCTGGGAGTGGAGTGCTGACTCCGGAGCCTTCGGAGTCTGGCAGCAGTAAGGCAGAGGAACAAGGGGAGCCTGTTCCCAGTGCGCATGTGCACAGAGGTGCTAGAAGGCAAGAGCAGCTGAAACAAAAGGGGTGACTTGGGAGTGAGGCTGGGAGGTGATTGCCCCTCCCATGAGGTAGAAAGGACAGGCAAAGATGACGAAACTTTTGCAGGAAGCAAAGTCGTTCGCTGTATTCAGATTAATCCTTGAAACTCTTTGTACTTCGGTTGGTTTTTTTATAATTCATTTGGCACTCTAGTTATTGACAGCAATTCAAAGGAGAGAAAGGTGGGTGCTTATCTCGAGGGACTGTTTGAGATTCATTACGGCTGGGAATGAAAATAATTCCCAGCGTTGCAATTGAAACAAGACTTGTTTTTAAAATAAGTGTGTGCGTAATTATGGTCTCGGAAGCCTTGGTCAGAACAGCTACAGAGGTTTTGGGCTTGGTTATGGTCATAAATCAAGGACTACCTGTATCCTTGAGAAAATAAGAAAACAGTGAGCAAATGACACAGGGATCTCTTGCCTTCCAGTGCATCATGTCTAGGTGAACACATCTATCCTGGCCATGGAACTTATGCCCAAATATCTGAAAAATGAATGAATGAATGAATGAATGAATGAATGAATGAATGAATGAACGAACGAACGAATGGCCATGATGTATTGCAACTGATTTCACTTGCACCTCAGTTGGTCACAGAGTTATCTCTGGTTGCTATAGAGCAGAGGTGGGAAACTATGGCCTTTTTATGGCCTGTGGACTTCAACTCCCAGAATTCCTGAGCCAGCCATGCTGAGAGCTGAAGTCCACAAAAGGCCCATCGTTCTCCACCCCTGCTGTAGGGTCTCCCGTAGAATGCATACAGATATGCCTGGAGGTCCCAAGACCCCTTGGAAGGAGAAGGTGCAAGAGCTTCCCACAAACGTGTTCAGAGCTCACCAATTTCTGAACACAAATATACGTTTAGCCTTCAGCTGTGAAGCTGAGCATAGTTCCCCAAGGTCTTGGCTTTATGCCCCGGAGCAGAAGCCAGAAATGGAGAGAGAAAAATCCCAGCTTTCTTGCAAAGAAAAAAACAGCCAGCAGAACAGAAGCTAGAGAAGAAACTGCCAATTTTGTAGATGGGAAACAGGGGAGATATTCTCCGATTGTAGCCTGGGTTGGCAAACACATCTGGATCAGCTCCAGAGAAAAGGGGGGACTCCATGGGATGCATCCTGCCACAGTTCTGCTCTATACTGAAGAAGGAGAAAGGCTGCCTAGGTTTCATGGAGAAGGACCTCTTCTCTATCAAGCATGATTGATGAATGAATTAATGTTCGTATGGTATCTGGAGTCGAGCCTTTCTTTTCCCAAGAACATCATCCCAAATTAGGAAATGCACCGAATGGGAGAACTTGACAATATGGACAGAGTTGCAAAATCTCTACCTCCTCCCATGCTATTTCTCATGACCAGACACCAGCGGTGGAATTTAGCAGGTTCACACTGGTTCGCGAGAACCGGTAGCTAACTTTTTGTGCAGTTTGGAGAACCGGCTGAATAGCGTGCCTTGCCATGCCATGCTGAGTCCTGCCTTGCCCCTCCTCTCCCCTCCCAGCCACTCCTTGCCTTGCTACCGAGCCACTTGCCCAGCCACCCAAGGTTATAAGAAGTGGCTGGGAGGGGAAGGGCCAGGTGGGGCAAGGAGAGGCTGGGCAAGGTGAGGCGCCCCTCGACGTGAGTGATGTCAAGTTGGCCATGTCTACCCAGTCACATGATCATCCAGCCAGGTTTATCCAGCCAGTCATTAGGGTAGAGAACCAGTTGTTAAATGATTTGAATCCCACCACTGTCCGACACCTGAGATGTCCAAGATAAAGCAAATTAAGGATTCTGGGTTTAATTAAGGATTCTGGATTAAGGATTCTGCCTTGGACAAATTGTCAGATCTGCCATCTCCAGCAGAGATGTTTCACTGGCATCCTGCCATAAATTGTAAGCGGGGATGAATTTGGGGTAGTAACATGTGGACCTGGGAATGAGAAGACAAACAGGGAGTGGGGAGGGGAGACACATTGAAAAGAACCAGAGGTGCCAAACTGGAATAAACCAACATCCAAGGACACCTGGCCTGGGAACTGAATGTAAAATGGATTGAGAGGCCCCAAGCTCCGAGCCATTCCCAAAACATCTTCAAGGCATCCTATTGAAGACTGATGGACTGGTCATGTGGGGAGGGCCAGGGAAAGGATGAAAAGTGTAATCTTTGTGCAGGAATACTTAGATCTGGTTTTACTTTCACTGCAACCACTTGAGTAAAAGAACCCATCACTTCAACCAAATGGAACCGAGAGTCTTTCTTTTTTAAATGTCTAAATTGGGGCAGGTCTGACACAAACACTCTTCCTTCACCTGTGTGGTCACTAGGGTGATGCACTTCACTCATCGAGCCCAGTCCTGAGTCTGATTTGTAGATCTGGGATCCTCCGTGATGGTTCAGCTCAGCTCCCGAGTCTGAATCACTCTGGCCGGCTTTGACACTTTTCCTCCGACGTGGCTGGTATTTGTAGTCTGGGTGATCCTTTTTATGTTGAACCCTCAACCGTTCAGCCTCCTCCACAAAGGGACGCTTCTCATTTTCACTCAGCAAGCTTAAGAAAGAGAGAGAGGAAAACGAAGTGAGTCATTCATGTATGCCTTTAACCCAATTTAAGTCTAACAGTCTTACGTAGTCCCAAAGCGGCCGAAGAATCCAAGAACACAATCAATGCCCTGTTGGGTCAGACCAAAGGACCCATCTAATCCAGCAGTTTGTTCTCTCTCAGTAGTTAGATTTGGGAGATTCCATTCTGTCTCATACAATGAACTTTTAGTTTAGTTTAGTTTATTGTCATTGCACCTCGTACAATGAATGTACCTGCTGTCAACTCATATTTATTTGGTCTTTTAGAGTTGCCAGCAGAAAGGGAGGGGGGAGCAGTGTAGCAGTTTGCAAAACCGAAACTGCATTCCATAAATGTTTTCATAGATAGTTTCCAGGCAACTGAAGTTCCTATCATGCAAAATTCTAACTGGAGAGTATGATTGATGACTCTTGGCTATGGATGTGTCCCATTGGAGAATATGAATTATGATACACCCAGGGGGTGGGGGAAAACCAGGGTCAAGGGTGACAATGAATGATGTGTCTCAGAGTTGGCTACACCCAGGTAGCACCGGCATGTTTACTCCTAATAAATCTTCTTTGAGCTTTGAAAATCCAGCTAGAGACTCATTATTTAAATGGGGATAACTCCCAGAGCCCTGACACATGCATTTGTGGAACTGAAGAGGTAGAAGATCTGACTCATATGTTATTCAATTGCTGCTTGTATAAGGGGGTGAGATATAAGTACCTTGATCCACATATTAAACATATGGCCCTGTGGGAGCCATATTAAAACAACATATACCTCATGTGTGACCAGAATTTGAAAACAACATTTAATACACCACAATTTCTGACTAAAATGGTCTGACTGAGATCGACATATGTGGGGTAAATTGCAGGGGTAATACAGAAATATAATTTTATGTCATTTTATTCTATTTTACATATTTATGTATTAAATTATTGTATCTTATACTATAGTTATTGTATTTTACCCTACTCTCATTTTAAATTGTATAGGATTTTACTGGAAACACGTGTTCGAATCATGTATGCCGATTTGGCCTGTAGGCTAATCAATAAAATAAATTGATTAATCGAGCAGTCTAAGTGGCCAACCAACTGCCCAAGGAAGTCCACCAGTCTTTCAGCAGATGGCCTTCAAAGGCAGTCCCACTGCCACCAAAGCTAAGAGCACCCCAAGCTGTCCTTTTTTGAAGCTAACCAAACTTTTTGGTACAAGGGAGCATCACATCTCGTGATGGCAAATTCCAAACTTGAATCACATGTGTTGAGTTGTTACATATGTCCAAATTCTTCCAGGATTCAATTGAATTGGTTAGTTCTAACTTCCCTAATTTCCCCTTGTCCACTTTATCCAGGCTACATCTAATCTTGTACAATGTACTGTCATCTCATTCAACCTCCTTTCTAGACTAATAATCCCCAAATGTTGCAAATGCTTATTCACAGGGAAGATGTTCCAACCTCTTGATCACCTGAGTTGACCTTCTCTGACCTCCAAGTTCCCTTATGCCTCTTACAAGATGCCCTGAGCAGATCTGTGCACAATATTCCAGAGATGGTCACGCTAGTGATTCATCTAAGGGCATTATAATATTGAGTAATGGTAAGTGAAAATGACCTTGGGAGACAGGGAGAAGAGACGCAGCCAAGGAAATGGTCAGATAAAAGGCAACTTAGCCACTAGCAGAAACGGGGGTGAGGCAAGAAGTAATTCAGAAGAGTTAGTTTTCCTGTAAAGGGGGATGGGAGGAGATATACTTTTGAATTGGCAAGATTCTGTTAATGTAACTTTACAAATAAAGCAGAATTAGATCGTCTGGCTCTGCTTACTGTTTGGCCTACCTGTCAGACCTGCCACAGTGTGAACCTCTAAATAGTAATGATCCTTGGCTCCATTTGTTGAGAAAGGTATAGTTTATTAGAAGTCAAGTGTAAAAGCAATAGTCTAAGTGCTATTGCTATTACTTACACTTGGCTTCTAATAAACTATACCTTTCTAACACCCTCTTTAAGTGGTTTACAGAGTCAGCCTATGGTCCCCAACAATCTGGGTCCTCCTTTTACCCACCTGGGAAGGATGGAAGGCTGAGTCAACCTTGAGCTTGGTGAGATTCGAACTGCCAAATTTCAGTCAGCTGGCAGTCAGCAGAGGTAGCCTCCAGTACTGCACTCTGACCACTGCACCACCATGGCAGTAATGCATAGCCAGTACCGAGAATCATGTGCCAAAATCCCTACGTTCAACATTTCCCTCCCTTAGCTGCCTCCCATCGCTGACCACGCACACACACACACACACACACACATACACACCAATCAGATAAAGCAAGGTATTGGTGTTTGCCTCTAATATTCTAATATAGTCTAATAGTCTAATATTCTAACTATTCTAATAGTCTAATAGTCTAATATTTCCTTCACTTTGAAGTATTGCTCTCCCTCAATGAGATCAGGAGAAGGAGGGGCTTCCGCCAGGGGCTGTAATGTGGAGGTTTAAGGGGCCGTAATGCAGAGGTTTTGCTGGTTTAAGCAGACTACAGTGTAAGACTAAGGTTTTTTGGCCATTTAAGTTCAACCGTTACCAGGTTGATAATTCTTACATGGGGAAAAGATCTACAAATTTTGCTCCCAGCTTTCTCAAGGGTCATCTAGACTGGACATATGTGGTGGACAAATACACTTCACCCCCTATTTTAAATTATTTTCTGAGAGGGCTTCTTCTTGTCAGCGTACTTCTTATATGTTTCTCCGGCTTCCTCTAATGCCTTGCGAACTACCGGCCATGTAGTTTGCAGCTGTTTCACTGTAAGATGGCAGCTGACGTTACCTCATAAGGCTGACATATTAGCACCTCTCTTGTCAATATCATTTTGGAATGGTATGGTACGGGTACGGTATGGTACGGTACGGTATGGGAGGGGAGGGGAGGGGAGGGGAGGGGAGGGGAGAGAATTCTTTATTGGCCAAGTGTGATTGGACACACAAGGAATGTGTCTTCAGTGCATAAGCTCTCATTGTACATAAAAGATATAAGTTATAAATCATGATCATAGTCATCACAAAAATACATTCATCATAATTCATAAGATGCAACTCTAAGTGATAGTCATAAGATACTAAATAAGCAATCAGCATAAACCATACTAGGAAACTAAATAAAACAATATAAATCGTAAAGATACAAACAACAAGGTTATAATCATAAGCAGAAGGAGATAGGTAATAGGAAGGATGAGAATAATAATAATAATACAGCATTACTAAATAGTTTGACAGCATTGTGGGAATTAAGAGTGACGGCATGGGGGGGGGGGGAAATCATCCTTGTGTCTAGTTGTTCTGGTATGCAATGCCCTATAGCATTGTTTCTCATTTTTCATTATCTCAAGCAGACAATTTTGTCCTTTTTCATGTAGAGAATACACACTGTGCTAATACCTTCACTGAATGTCATGTGTACCTTTATCATTACTCTAAAATCTCTTTCCCCACTGATCCTGCACACTCTGAACTCATTCCGTTTGCATAAGTCATTAGAATTTTTGGCCCCAGGTACATATGGTGCAAGATTCCCTTCTTTCCCATGGGATTTCCATTGCTTTAAGTTTTTTAACACAGTTTTTAATGTTTATGACAAGTTCAAGGGAAATCTTTTCCTTTATAAAGGAATAACCCATAAAAATACCAGAATGGGCCAATTCCCTGTGGTCAACTTGCTGCGGGACAATTCAACAATTCCATTTAATTATTTAAAATACTTTTTAAGAACTATTTTAATTGTTGTCAATCATATTTCATTTTGTCCTTCCTTTTGCATCCTTTAATGATTCTATTCCATCATTTCTTCTATATTAGTATAACTCTTCTCTTACAGCGAGTTGTGCCATGGCAAGTTGCTTGTTGCAGGTTGGCTGTGGCGAGGTGTGCTAATGTTGGAAGAAATATCCATCTGGTTCAGTTCCAAGCCAGGAGAAAAACACTGGAAATAACATGGAGGCTGATTGGAAAGAAAGTTGGTTTATTGATGAAGGAGAAACCACTAACCATGTGGGATTCTGGGACAGCAGACAAAATGGAGTTTAGAGTGGGTGGGTTTTATACCTTCTGGATTCCTATGGGATCATGTAGGGGTCATGGCTGGCTCTATAGGCAAAGGGGGAAATGCAAACCCTAGGTGTTTGAGCTAATTTTGCCAACCTTTTGTTATCTGGAGTTTTTGTCTTGACCCTAGTCTTTCTGAACGGATTACCAAATCTGCATTTCTAAAAGCTGGCCTCCTCAGTTTCTGCTTCGGACAGGGAAACTGGGGCCGGTCTCTGGGGCCAGAGACTAGTATAGATCTATTTCAAGCTATTTAGCTCTCGTCTGCTAGCCATACCCTTTGGGGATTCAAACCCAGGCTGCTTGCATATTAGGTAGATGTATTAACCACTAAGCCACAGGCTCTCCTTGCTTTGTTGGCTATACCAGGGGAGAGATTAAGTGGTTTTTTTTTATCAGGTAAACCTGGTCTACCCAAATATGGGATGGAGCATATTGCTTCCGCCTTCGCCTTTCAGCCCCAATCCAGGGGCCTTCGCAGGGCAGTCGCTTTCTTGATAAACTATTTTTGTATTACATTTATATTTCAATAAATCCCTTTATCTCTTTGTCGGTAAATATAAATTTGAGCCACAAGCATCTTTTCTTCACCTTTTGACAGCCCTTGGAAAATCCCCAAAGACCCCTTCAAGAAAACGACCCCATTACCCAAGCTGGTTAATTCAGCTCCCAAACGGAGAACCCCTGAAACAGAACCAGCTGTTGCGGCTGCCAGCATCCCTATTCTTCCCCCCTCCTTTTTGTATGTATGTAGAATTCTTTTAGCTTCTTGAAAAACTCTTGTGTGTCTTTTTTTTTTTTTTTTGGTACGAGATACTTGAACAGGCTCTGTTCCTTGTAAAGAGAAGAGACAGCGCTTTGTTCGGCTCCAAA